CCATCTCCAATCTCTCATCCCAAATTCACTCACTCAACATTTCTGAGGAATCTAGAAGCCTATCCCCTCAAGAGCTTCATCTTAGATCTGCTTTGAAAGACCAGCTTCTCTCTCTTGCTCAAGCTGAGGAAATCAAGTGGAAACAAAGATCCCGCATTCAATGGTTGAAAGAAGGTGACAACAACTCCGCTTTTTTCCACAAAGTAGCTTCTTTTCACCGTAGAAAAAATTTTATCCCACATCTTCTCATTGACAACTCTATCATATCTTCCGACAGCGATATCAAACAAAGTTTCTTTTCTTTTTTCTCAAATCTCTTCGAGCAACCACCAGCATCTAATCTATCCCCTAACTGGGGTCTTCTCTACCCAAATGACAACCTTGATCTCTCTTCTTTAGATCTTCCCTTTACCCCCCAAGAAATCTCTGAGGCTGTCTTTGGTCTTCATCCTGATAAATCCCCGGGGCCAGATGGATTCCCCATCCTCTTTTTCCAGAAATTTTGGCATATCGTTCAAGCGGATGTTACAGATTTCATCCAAGGTCTCTTCTCCCAACCTCATCTGCTTCACAATATCAACTTCTCCCACATTTGCCTTATCCCCAAGAAAGAGGGTGCCCTCTCACCTAAGGATTTTCGGCCAATCAGTCTCATAAACAGTTCATGTAAGATCTTTTCTAAGATTCTGGCAAATAGACTTAGAAAAGTTCTTCATCTTCTTATTGACAAGTCACAATCAGCTTTTCAACCTGGTAAATCATCCTTAGACTCATTTCTCCTAGGTCATGAGATGATTAACTTCTGTTCTTCGGGGAAAAAGGAGATATGTGCTCTCAAGGTTGATTTCTATAAGGCTTTTGACTGTGTAAATTGGTCCTTCCTCCAGTCTCTTCTTAAAGCCAGAGGTTTTGGTCCCAGGTGGTGCCTTTGGATCCACAACATTCTATCCTCTTCTAAATCAGCTGTTTTAGTTAATGGCTCCCCTACCAATTTCTTTCGATGTTTCAGGGGTCTCAAACAAGGGGATCCTCTATCCCCTTTGCTTTTCCTGTTGGTGGCAGATGTTCTTAGCAAAATGCTCAATTGCAGTGCACAATCGGGGGACTTATCGGACCTTAACCTGAAAGGGCAGCTTAACAATATCAGGTCTATCCAGTTTGCGGATGACACCATTATATTCTCCAGAGCTACCCCCTCTGACATGGCTACTTTGAAATCCATCCTCTACATCTTCGCAAACATTTCTGGCCTGTGCGTTAACCCCACCAAATCAAACCTCTTTTACCTCGGTAAAACTCCTCTTAAAGGGAAAATGTTAGCTGAGATCCTCAATTGCTCTGTAGGGTCTCTCCCTTTCTCTTACCTGGGTCTCCCTCTCAAAAGAGGATCTCTCTCCAAAAGAGAGTGGCAACCTCTTTTAGAATCCTTCAACAAGAAGCTATCGCTATGGAAAAACAAATCTCTCTCAATTGGGGGAAGGTTAACCCTCCTAAACTCAGTTCTATCTTCTCTTCCTCTTTACTATATGTCTTTTTTTAAGCTGCCGCAGTGGCTTATTAAGGCTATAGATAGAATCAGAAGAAATTTTCTATGGAACGGTAGCCACACTCACTCAAGTATTAAATGCCTTGTTAGCTGGAGGAAAGTATGCAAGTCTAAAGCCGAAGGAGGTCTGGGGGTTCTTGATATCGAATCCTTTAACAGAGCCCTTTTATCAAAATGGTTGTGGAAAATATTTGATCGAAAGTCTCTCATTAGTGATGTGGTTTTCTCCATTTACTCCAAAAATGGCTCTAATCCCTTTGCTCATCCCTCAAAGTGCTCGGCATCAAGGTTCATCCAAGATTTATCATCTATAAGCTCCACCTTTTTCAGTTTGGTTAAATGGAATACTGGGGATGGTAATTCTGGTAGTTTTTGGCACGACAAATGGTCTGCGTCAAACTCACTCAGCTGCCTTTTTCCAAAAGCTTACCAGTTAGCCCTTTCTAAGCACTGTAGTATCAGATCACAGGGAAGGATGATCAACCATTCATGGACCTGGCACCCCCTTACCAGAAGAGGTATTTCGTATTCAGAAAGGTCAGATCTAAACCTTCTCCATTCTCATTTAACTTCCTCAAATATCACAATTTCTCCTGGTCCAGATGAGCTGTGGTGGACTCTGGTCCCATCGGGGATATATACAGTTAAATCTTTCTACTCCCTTGTCAACTCAGGGGGTATAAAATCCAAGTACTATAGCATGATTTGGAGATCTCCTATCCCAAGTAAGGTCAAAGTTCTTTTCTGGCTCATCACTAACAAGAAGTTAAATACGAAGGCAAACTTGGTTATCAAAGGCTGGACAGGTGATCCTAGATGTTCCTTCTGTCAGTCTGATGTTGAAACTCACGAACACCTGTATATCAAATGCCCATTTGCTCAAGCTATCTGGTCATTCATTTTCCCTTCTATCCCTACCAACAGTTGGCCGAAATCGGTTGAGGATTTGATATTTTTTCATAAATCTACCATTCTAAGTAAGGATGCAAAAACCATTTGGAAGATTCTGCTGCCTTGTACTTGCTGGTGGATATGGTTTAGTAGAAATGCACTCATTTTTAAGGATGTACAACCTGATCCTCTACAAACTGCTTCTAATATAGGTAGATTAGTCTAGTGGTAAAATTTAGGAGTTTGGAGAGGATGTTAGTGATTCAAACCCTACCCCCACAACATATATATTTAGAGGTCTTTGATTGAGCCTTGGGCGTTGTGGGACTCTTTGAATTCTACAATTATTTTTAATTTTGTTTGTTTCTACAAATTCTACAATTATTTTATATCATTTTATCATTTTAATTTCTCTAAACTTTTATATTTGTAAATTATATAATTACAATTGATTAATAATATAATTTTTTTATCAAAATTGTGTTTATTTTTTGCTTTGTATTCTTGGAAAATTAAAATTTTAAAATGAAAGAAAACCGGGCCGGGGCCTGAGGCAACCGGGCCCGGGTTCGGGCTCCGTTTTTACCCAGTCCGATCCGGGCCGGATGGACAGGCCTACATATATTATAGGTAGATAATTCATTGTCACATGAGCCCTCTCATAGTGAAACAAACAGAAACATTTATTGCCTCCTGTCTCAAGGTGAAGCGTTACTACTTCATGCAATATTGTATGTGTTTGAGGAGGTACTCTAAAACCATCACTTACATCCCCTAGTTTATAACATATTTTTAAACTAGTACCGCATCACAATTGATCTACAAAATGGATGATAAATTAAGAAAATGATGAAAATTTACTAACAAATTTAATTGCATGCTAGGAAAATAATTAATATTGGAATCTTCAAAAAAGGTTTATCAAATATGCGACAGGGTGAAAATTTTATGAAGCATTACGACTTCATATATGCAAAATGTGATTGGTACCTACAATCCCTATTACCAAGGGTCGCAAAACCAATCCACGCCTTCTCTTCATGTTGACAATTAAGTTATTTATTTGTTAAAAAACTAAAAATATCACAATTAAGTTATTCATGGACCTGGCACCCCCTTACCAGAAGAGGTATTTCGTATTCAGAAAGGTCAGATCTAAACCTTCTCCATTCTCATTTAACTTCCTCAAATATCACAATTTCTCCTGGTCCAGATGAGCTGTGGTGGACTCTGGTCCCATCGGGGATATATACAGTTAAATCTTTCTACTCCCTTGTCAACTCAGGGGGTATAAAATCCAAGTACTATAGCATGATTTGGAGATCTCCTATCCCAAGTAAGGTCAAAGTTCTTTTCTGGCTCATCACTAACAAGAAGTTAAATACGAAGGCAAACTTGGTTATCAAAGGCTGGACAGGTGATCCTAGATGTTCCTTCTGTCAGTCTGATGTTGAAACTCACGAACACCTGTATATCAAATGCCCATTTGCTCAAGCTATCTGGTCATTCATTTTCCCTTCTATCCCTACCAACAGTTGGCCGAAATCGGTTGAGGATTTGATATTTTTTCATAAATCTACCATTCTAAGTAAGGATGCAAAAACCATTTGGAAGATTCTGCTGCCTTGTACTTGCTGGTGGATATGGTTTAGTAGAAATGCACTCATTTTTAAGGATGTACAACCTGATCCTCTACAAACTGCTTCTAATATAGGTAGATATACTACTTTTTGGGCAGGTGCCGCGGATGAGAGATTGGAAAGGAGACTTCGCCGGGCGGCTAAAAGTGTCGGACTCCAGGAGCTTGCAAATAAGAGCGCTGATGCCACTGGGGATTGCCTTCCTCATGCCCTCTAAACTCAGAAGCCACTGGGAAATGTACCTTTTGTCGGTTATCTACTGATGTTCTACCTCATAAAACTAAGTTGTTTTGTTTCTAAGTATGTTTTCTTCCTGAAATTTAGTATGTAAGTATGTATCTTTGTGCTATCTAGTTGAGGTTCCGTTATGGGTCCAGTTTGGTAGGTGACGACACAGGTCCGCTCCTTACCTGCTTCACCCTATGTGGTTCTTCAACTAGTATTGTAGTAGTTATGTTTATTAATAAAATCTTTAATGAGCAGGGCTTTTTACCCTGCTTTTCAGCTCAAAAAAAAAAAAATCATGAGAGTGTTCCTCAAAATATTCCTCATTGTGCTTCAACTCTCTTTACAAGCTCAACTCCATGTGCACCAGTTGCTCCAATTAGCACCGAATGTACCGACTGACTCCAGCACCATATTCACTAATTGCATTAAATGCCGCACTACATCATGTTTGCATAGCAAATACAGAACCATCAACACATGATTCATCACATAGGGAGGAGGATAATTCAATTGAACCGTCAATGCATGATTCATCACATTATGTGAAAATTTCATACACATACACTAGTAAAAAGAGGGGCAGCCCCAACTGATGGATAGAACCGTTGGGGCTGATGAAACCAGCCCCAACGGTTCAAATAGTTGGGGCAAGTCGGTTCAGTCTACACACGCAAGAGGGGGAAATTTCCCCCCCATTTATTTTCGCCAAAAACCGAAAAAATCAACGAAAACCCCCAAATTTATCCCCGTTCTCTCTCTCTCTCATCAAAAACCCCAAATCCCCGTGCGCCTTCTCTCCCCCCCCCCAACTCTGGATCGGAAAGACTCGCCGCTGCCGTTCGGAGGTCGCCGCTGCCGTCGAAGGTCCCCGCCGCCGTCAACCCTACAGTTGGCCACCGAGTCTTCCACAAAAACCCTAGTTCTTCCTCCCCAAATCGAACCTCGCTGCCTCTCCTACTCCTGATTTTCGCCGGACGCCTGACTTGTAAGTCCTCTACCTCTCAATCTCATTCTCTAAATCCATGGAGGCTTCCTATGATGGAGATTCTTCTTTGAGGTCAGATGATAAAGCTGGAATGAAGAGATGCCGGTCTTGATTTTTAAAATAATTTGTTTTCTTTTGTTGTTGTTGTTGTAATCTTTATGTAAGTCTACTTTCTAGTGTCACATTAATCCTTGAGTAATCTAATTCTTTTCTATGTCTGCAGTTTCTACTATTGATATTTGTGGATGTTAACTTTCGGTGGCATGGTCCCCCTCGTCGATATGACCTCTTCACTAACCTCGTCGACATGGTCCCCCTCGTTGAATCTCTCATGGTCAGCTTCCTCAAATCTCAACTCTCCTTCTACCTGTTTTCCTTTCTTTTCACTTGCTGCTGTTGTTGACTGGGGATTTCTTGTTCCTACTGATTCCAGGATCGGAGGGCAAATCTGTCATTTAGGAGGGCTTCCATTGTGCAGACGACAACCCCAAAAGGTGAGAGCTTTTTATGGATTTATTTATTTATTTATTTATTGGGTGTATTTACTTTGGGGTTTTGTTTGCAATTCACTATCATTATTTTTACTGATAATATGTTTACATATGTAAAATCTGAAAAATATCTTTTGATTAATGTTGCCTAGTTAAGCATCTGAAGAGTCAAATCTGTTTAGTTTCAGTTTTCTAAACTAACCGAGCACTAATTTTTGGAGATTATCCAAATTCAATATTATTGTAATTTTTGTTGCTTGATAGAAACCTCTTTTAGTCTTGACAAAAGAAATAACCTTTTTTCTTAAATAATTCATGTTTATGATCACATCCGATATGTTTTTGGGCACGTGGGTCTTAATGACCAGCACATCGTTGCTCTTTCTGGTGGTGACACGCTGGTTGGTGATTTTATTACGCTAGCCTTTATCTGCATTTGGTTATTTTGGTGTGGTCTTATTGTGATATTAGTTGATATTGCTTATGAGTTTCTTACATATAAGCTTTTGTTTGCTTGCTATTTTTGTTTATTTTTAGCTGCATGTTTGATTTTACTCGGTTTATACATTGGTTGTAGTTTTGCATTTATTTAAGAATAATTAAAATTGACACTATATGAACAAATCTTGATAGTGCCATCCTTCCTGCAAAACTGGAAAATAAAATTGAATTAGCATTTTTCTTTATATTGGATGTTGTGAAAATTGCTTCATATACATTTCAGTACTTATGTTTACTGTTTTCATTTTCTCCTGTCAATTTTTAATGACGTCCTGTTTGTTCAGAACTTGATATATCAAGATTACTTATTTGACATGTATCAGGTAGAATAGAGTTACGAAGCTTCATCTTGCTAACCATTTATCATTTATATTTCAGATGGACATTGAGCCATGCCTTATTGATTTTGACATTGAAAATGTCCTTACTGTGAAACTATTTTCTTTGTTATTTTTCTGTGAGAATGGAAACTATCATTTTAATGTCCTGTGTGTTAGAGGAAAAGAGCTTCTGGAATTATTATGCAGTGTCTGTTACTATTAGTGCTATTGCTACTTCTTTTTCTTCTTGTTTTTCCTCTTCTTTTTCAGCTGAACATAGATAACCCAACTAGAACAGATACTGATGCGTTGTTGGTGTAGGCTCCCTTTGATGCATATCTACAGTGTGTACTGAATTTCTGTCACCAATATGTCTTTATGGTCTTTAAGCTAAAAGTTAACTTGAATTCTTAAAACTCATCATCCATCTTAGTGGATAATTGTTTTTCCTTGTTTTTAGCTGATCTTCCTAATACTCTATACAACTATCCATGTGTATATGTACACACACCATGAATGCTTATCCTTCAACTTGTTTTCAATGTTCAACAAGAGCAAAAATCAATAGATGAATGGTTGTTTTGGAGAAATAGTGACTCACAGTCATATCACATGCTTATTACTGGAACGACATGGGCTCATTTTTATTTTCTTGGACTGTTTTGTTACTTATCGTAACTCTGAAAGTGAAGATACTGGACATGTAAAGAAAGGACATGGTGATCAATTGATCATTAGCTATTATAAGGTATGTATTGAAGTATTAATGAAGATTGATTATACTTGCATGTCATATATGCAAAACCAGACTCCGTTCTGCCAGCCCTCTTATAATGATGGAAGCGTGCTTTGGAGGAAGATAGCAGTTCATAAGGTTGGAACTGGATGAAAGGTGAGCATGTTGACAGTAGCCTTGCTTTTGGACGCACTCTCGGTCTTATTATAGGAACTTTTTACATCTTCTTTGCATAATTTGATACACATGAATCCATCTGATAAAATTTTCTTCATTGAATGTGGATTGTGGACAAATGAATGCAGCAACTTGGTGAACCAATTATGATTCCTAAGGCTACAATTGATATCCTGAAAGATCAAATTTTTGGTTTTGACACATTCTTTATTACAAGACAGGAACCATATGAGGTGAGTGCCAATTTTTTGACCTTCACTTACTTTGTTAAAGCAATTTTGCTAGGGTACAAATGTTTAGCTTTTTTTTTCTCATCCTTCCATCCGAATATATTTATATCTTTGTCAATTGAATTTTGCTAGGGTCAATTTTGCTAGAATCCTGAATATTGGGATATTGTTTTTTGTAATTTCCAGCACATTCAATTCACAGGATAGATTTGGAGATCAGTATAGACTTTTCCTTCTTATTAATCCCCAAGACGATGAACCAGTGGCACGTGTGAGATATTCTTTCATTTTATGTGTCAATGAGTTAGCATGAGATATTCTAAACCTTATTGTTTGTTTCTTTGCATGTTGATGATACATTGGATGTGCAGCTGTCCTAGAGTGGTTTACTGCCAGTGCATTTGGATTGGTTACGATTTTCATCTTATTTCTGAGAAATGTCCCAGCGCTGCAGTCCAATTTGTTGTATGAGGTTTCTTTCATTTATTTCTCTTTCTCTTGTTCCTTAACCTATCAATTCAAGAAACATACATATAGCCTATTGTAGGGTTCTGTAGTTTTTGGTTTCAAAGCTGGTCGCATGTTGCATTCCTTCTGTAAACAAGTGTGGTAGGGGTGCATTTGGCTGATTTTTCTTTTTTTTTATTTATATAAAGGCCCCAACGGTTGGAACCGTTGGGGCAAATATTAGCCCCAACGGTTCTAACCGTTGGGGCAAATCTAACCGTTGGGGCTAAAGATTTGCCCCAACGGTTAGAACCGTTGGGGCAAGTTCGGCAACCGTTGGGGCTGACTTAGCCCCAACGCGACTTGCCGGGTGGTTTTTTTAGCCCCAACGGTCCTAACCGTTGGGGTCATGATTTCCCCCAACGGTTACAACCGTTGGGGCAGCCCTAGTTTGTACTAGTGATAATAAATATTTGATGCACTATGCATGTTCCACATTTATGGAAATTGTGATTAAATTTAAACAAGTAAATAAAATTTATCTATACCAAACTATATAGTTTTTATAATTTTCTGAAAATTACTGCAAGCGTGTTTAATTTATGAGTTGTTATCACTAACTCTGTCTTGGTTAGGTTATCATGGCCTGTGACTATATCAGGGTTAAGGACTGGATGTATGTGAATCGTGAAAAACGCACAAAGATTGAGTTCATATTGCAGGAATACTTTGCATCGTAAGGAGGAAGATGTAGAACTTCACATTGTTAAGTATGGTTTTATTAGAGGTTATACAACTTGGGTATATCACGGAGAAATTCTAACTCCCATTAATGCCGAAGAAGAAGAAGAAGAAGAAGTTGACGATATTAACTAGTTTCCAGAAGAGGAGATGGAGGAAATGATAGAGGTTGCTTTCGGTGACCCTAATCATGTTGAAGATAGTCCTCCCAGACAAGAACAATATGTAGATGAGTATGAGAAGTACATAAATGATGCTAGGAGACCGATTTATAAGAATGCAAAACATTCCACGCTGTCATGGTTCGTTCAACTTTTCCAGATTAAGTGCCTAAACAAATGGAGCAACAAGTCATTCATGATGATTTTAAAGTTCCTGAAAGATTCTATGCCTCTTGGGAATAATGTCCCTGATAGCTGGTATGAAGCTCAAAAGATAATATCTAATATGGGTTTAAATTGTGAGAAGATTCATGCATGTCCCAATGATTGAGTACTGTACTGGAGTCCTACTTGTGGGGTGTCCAGATATAAGAAGAAAACACATACTAGCAAGAATGACATACCTCTCAAGGTAGTACGATACTTTTCTATTACACAGAGCATGCAGAGAGTTTACAAGTGTAAGAAGACAGCGGTGGTAATGACCTAGCATGATCGTGCTCTTGGCAAAATGAGTCATCTGAGAGATTCACCTATATGGAAGAATTTCGACAAGTTACATTCAATATTTAGTCAGGATCCTCGTAATATCAAGCTCAGACTAGCTAGTCATGGCTTTTACCACTTTAGTTTTAATGGTAATCCACACATCACATGGTTGGTTGTAATGATGATTTATAATCACTCATCGTGGTTGGCTATGGATCAATCATATTTTATGATGCCTCTTTTGATTGATGGACCCATTTCACTAGGAAATAATATCGACGTTTATCTTCGACCTCTCATCGAAGAGTTATGGTCTTTATTCATTGATGATGTGGAGACATATGATGCAGATAAAGGGGAAACCTTCATAATGCGTGCAGCCTTAATGTGGACAATTAATGATTTTCCTACATATGGAATGCTATCAGGATATTCTGTACATGGTTATAAAGCATGTCCATATTGCCACGTGGATACAACATCGACATGGTTGCCTTTTTAGCAAAGACATATGTTATTGTGGTCATCGACGTATGTTGAAAGAAGACCATCTCTATAGGGATGATGATGTTCACTTTGATGGTACTACAGAGCACCAAAAGGCTCTAGTCCTCTTATTTAGAGAGGATATACTTGCCCAATGGAATGATAATGAAAATGTGATTTTTGGAAAAGTAAAGGAAAGACGGGAAAAGCCACAATGATGGAATATGAAAAGTCTACTAACTTATGTTGTACAGAGTCCAAACCTTTAACGTGGGATTCAAGGACTTGTTCCTTTTATCATAAAATTAAATAAAAAGGTTTCATCAAATATCAATTTAAATAAAGTAGGTAAGTTTAATCGATGATAAATAAACTGCAATATAATAAGTTTAGTAAATATAAATGTATATTACAAAGTGAGAAATTTTTATTGTATTTCTACTTGCAGTCAGCATCATATAAGCTTTTGATTTCTTTTTCTTGCCGCTTATTTCGTTTTTGTTTTGATTTTTTTTCATAAACTTTAAATACTAGAAACTGTGATTGTAAGAGCTACCTAAGCATAGATTAATTCAATTAATTATTATTTTCAATTATTCACTCAAGAAAGATTATTCATGAATATCTACTATTTAATAATTTTTAATCCAATTAATTTTATATGAAATTAAGGGGCCTTTTTTATGATTTCTTTGTGAATTGTCACGATGCATTTAATTGCTTATGATCTATCATCTTTTAGATTGGTTTTGCAAAAAAGATAGTTTTTTTTGTTAAAAGTGGGGTAGGTATAATAACAGTTGGGTGTTGGGGTGTGCGTATTACTAATATCAGGATAATTAGAATTCTTGTATATGATTATTAATTATGTATCCCAGATGACAGTGCCAGATGAGAACTAACTGCTGATGAGCTTTTAATAGTGGCATGTTCAAATGTGACTTGAATATTGTTAATAGATAAAACCCCATCTTAGTGAACATTATTATTGAAACGTAAGTCATGAGGGAGAAACAACTAATACCAGCTTGGCTCCATTTCGTGATCAATATTTTACTTAAGTGAGAAGATTCATCAAATCAGTTAAAGATCATGTGTTCTCAAGAATTAAGTTGTAAAGAGCTTGGTTGGTCATGCTTATCCCTTGCTGACTAGTTTCAGACTAAGTTGGCATCATGATCATCTAATCGTGTTTACAATGAACATTAATTAAGGTGCTAAGAAAGCTCCTAACCAAATATACAATTAGAATAAACTATGATTGTTCCACGCAAATTAGCTAGTGTAATTATTTAGTTTATAGTATTCAGTCATCAATCACTAAAGCCAGCTAGCTAGATGGATTGCGATGTCAGGATAGTGTGTGAAACACCAAATCAAATCGTATGAGTACAAATTTTATCAGAATACCCATCACACAAATAGAATTTTCTGAACTATTCATACGGAGACAGTTTAGACATTTCAAATGTCCCCTTGAATGAATGACCCAGAAACGAGTTGCACAATTCCCTAGACCCCTCAAACCATCATATAATTTCTATAAACCGATTATTAGTACATTTGTGAACCGATTCCCTCCGATACACAAATTAGTTTCTTGAAATTAGTGGACCATTTATAAGTATATGTAGGCGTTGTTGGATTTTTTGGTCAAAACCGCTTTCCAAAATGAGTTTTCAAACTATATATATATTAACTACAAGTACTTCTCATAAATGCTTAGTAGCCTAGAGGAATGTTAAACTTTTGGTGTTTCGAAAGGTCCTCTGTTCTAGGCTTGCCAACAGCAAGCCGAGAAGTGTTTTATTTTAATTAATCCCTCATAAGTTCTAGTGGGTCATGGGTCGTGGGTCGCGGGTCGTGGGCTCGTGGGCCATGGGCCGTAAGCCAATGGGCCAGAGATCAGTGCTAATCGGGCTGAGGCGCTAAGTAGTGCTTTGTTAGGCGCACTTTGCACTTCACACGGATGCATTGGGGTAAGATGGCGCTCTTTGGCGCCACGTTGGCTGCCTCGCAGGCTGCTTCGCAGAATGCGGAGGAGCTACGCATTCGCACGAGGGTGTGACCCTAGCGTTCTCGTAATCATACGAGGTTCGTCAATTAGTTGACGAGATTCGCTCGTTCGACGAGCTTCGCCTATTTGACGAGGTTCGTTCATTCAACAAGGTTCGCCTGTTCGACAATGTTCGTCTTTTTGACGAGGTTCGCTCATTCGACGAGGTTCGCCCGTTCGACGAGGTTCGTCCTACAGACAATATTCATCTAGTTTGCTGAGACGTGATCCTTGCGTTTCGTAGTAACACGTCCATGTTTGTCTCGTATTCAGGAGTTAATGCATGCAACAGTTACAATAGTATTTACATCAATTTAAAGGATTGTTGTTACAATCATACTTGCCATTATGATTTGTAATAGTCATATTAATTGAGGATGACTCTTGAGCTGGCATTAGAGGCCTATAAATAACGTCCATTGAGCAGCTCTTTGGTAGAACTGGGAAAAATGAATGTCGGATCGAGGAGATCTTGACGTTGTTACTGCTGTTGTGTTGCTGCTGCAAAAACTGTGCCCGAAAGAACTTGTTCTAAAATCGAAAGGTTTTGAACCGAAATGTTCTAAGATCGAAGAGATATTTGCCTTGACCGAAAGGTCATATAGATCGAGGAGATCTTGACAGTACTGTGTTGACGCACACCAGAGTACTATACTTCTGTTCCTGAAAGTAGTTTGGTATTGAGATCCTTGCACCGGAGTAGGCCAAATATTGCTTTAAGCATAGTATTTCACAAACGCACATCAGTGAACTGAAAAAGTTTAAAATTACAGCACATCAAAATTTCTCTGTTTATTCCAGATTTAACGATAATTTTCATTAATCTTAATGCAATATTTCAGATCTATTATAGATCCCGCGAGGACTCTTGGAGTGGATTGTCTTAAGTTAGAGAACTTTGACGGATCCAACTTTAACACATGACGTCGGAAAGTAATCTTCGAGATACAACTCCTGAAGATCTACTATGTGGTTTCTGAGGAGAAACCCAGCTTTGAAGAAGATTCTGAGTCTGAAGCTTCTTAGGCTAAAGAGTAATCATTTTTGTAGGAGTTATCTCCTTAACTGTCTGGCCGGTCATCTGGTACATGCTTATACCAACAAGCCCTCTACAAAAAAAAATCTAGAATACCCTGGAGGACCAATACAAGGATGAGGAGAAACTGTCCAAGTCTCACCTCATTGACAAGTTTCTAGATTTCAAATTTAAAGATGACACTGAGGTTTTGCCTCAAGTCAA